CCATTGCTCCAGCTGACCAAACTCATAGCTCTTTCTTTAGAACTCCATTTTTTCCTAACAATTGAGTACAAGAAACTGACTATTTACCGATTTCAACTGCCCAATAACGTGGTCAGAAAGTTACAATTTGGCCAATTTCACGAAAATTAAAAAAATATGACAATTTCAAAATAGGGTCCAGAATGAACAGTGTGCACATTCCTGTCTCTAAAATAACATTTTCTTTGTTCATCAGTCATGTCTCCAGGCCCCTTTGTTATTACTCTTGCTTTCTATTTTGAATTTTTATTCAAACAAAAAATAGAAGATTTGTTATGCAGACTACTGCAATATTGTAATAATTGTATAAATAATGTCAACCCATTCATGACTTCATATTAGAATGGCTACTTGGACATTTATTGGAAAATGACATCATTTGTTTACTTTTGAACATCGGCAAAAATCAAACATTTCCCCTAATTTGAGCTCTATTTCAAGGTTCTTTTCACAGTAAAACCAATCAAAATCACCTCTATGTCTATAGTATGTTTTCCATTTTATCAAATGAGACCAAGAAAATGAGAATACAACGATAAATACTATAGGAAAATAGACCACAAAGTCGGCATTTTAATTAAAAAAACGGTTGATTTTTTTTTTCTCATTATGCACTGCGTGCTGCAGGATTTTTTTTTATATGGTGCACACTGACTACACAGAGCCATTCTCTCACATGTGGGCCTACCAGCTTTCTCCTGCTTGATTTGAAGCCGCTAGAATTTTAGTATATGTCAAAAACGGTGGCTCGTAAGACGTATATATATGACTGAAACAGTCAGAGGGTTAAGTGAGAAAAGTGGTTATATGTATGTACAATAAAACTGTTTTATACAAGTACAGTATTCAGGTAAGTTGTCACCTTGAAACAATTTTGGCTTTATTACAGTATGTAACTTTAAGGTTTGTTTTCCTAAGTTATCAACACATCATCATCTTACGATTCAAATTATAATATTTTGAGAAAGTGTGGAATGGTTTTAAGACAGGGGGGTAGCTTTTTCATATTCATGGTTTCCTAATATTGAATATTTTATCATTAGTGTGTCTTATTTGTGTACCTCTATGTTTATGAAGACTTTCAAAGATAGGACTGCTTTCAGAATACAGAAAATTCTCTGGTATATTTTTTTTGGAAGTTGCTTGTCTATAAGGTCTTTTACTGTACTGTATTGTACAGGTTGGCCATCACTGATCTGGCATCATCGGGACCTGTAGGATGCCAGATTAGTGATTTTGCCGGATTACAGAATGGTTAGGTTAGAATACAGTGGACCCCCGCATAACGATCACCTCCGAATGCGACCAATTATGTAAGTGTATTTATGTAAGTGCGTTTGTACGTGTATGTTTGGGGGTCTGAAATGGACTAATCTACTTCACAATATTCCTTATGAGAACAAATTCGGTCAGTACTGGCACCTGAACATACTTCTGGATTGAAAAAATATCGTTAACCGGGGGTCCACTGTACACTTAACCCAATGGTGATATTTACGCATTGGCTATTTCACCCACTTTAGGCCCTATTTTTGGCTCATTCCATTGTTCCAGTCTACCAAACTCGTAGCTATTTCGCTAGCATTCCTTCTAGTCTATCGACTGAGTACAGTGGTCCCCCGCTTTTCGTAGTTCCCGGCAATCGTAAAATTCGCCAATCATAGAGGTATTTTCGTATAAACATGGACTCGCTTTTCATAGGTTGACTCGGGAGTCGTAGTTCGGCCGGGACCCGTACCCACGGCGTGAGCCAGGGCGGCAGCCAGTCTGGCATTGTTTACCAGTGAGCGAAGGTCCCCTCACGTGCTCCAGCGAAATATTTCATAATATTCCATTTATTTTAGTGCTTGCAAGTACTAAATAAGCTACCATGGCTCCAAAGAAAGCTCCTAGTGCCAAGCCTGTGGTAAAGAAGGTGAGAAATACGATTGAATTTAAGAAAACCATCATTGAACAATATGAAAGTGGTCCAAGTGTGGCCGAACTGTCCAGGATGTATAAGAAACCCTACACAACCTTATGTTCCATAGTGGCCAAGAAAAATGAAATAAAGGATGCTGTTGTTGCAAAGGGAGTAACTATGCTGACAAAAATGAGATCACCAGTACTGGAAGAGGTTGGGAAGTTATTATTGGTGTGGATAAATGAGAAACAATTAGCAGGAGATACTCTTATGACTTCGTTTATTTGTGAAAAGGCTAGGCAGTTGCATGAAGATTTGGTAAAGAAATTGCCTGCAAATAGTGGTGAAGTGAGTGAATTTAATGCCAGCAAAGGCTGGTTTGAGAGATTTAAGAACCGTACTGGCATACACAGTGTGGTAAGGCATGGTGAGGCTGCCAGTTCGGACCACAAGGCGGCTGAAAAAATATGTGCATGAATTCCAGGAGTACATAGAGGCTGAAGGACTGAAACCTGAACAAGTGTTCAATTGTGATGAAACAGGCCTCTTTTGGAAGAAAATGCCAAAGAGGACCTTCATTACACAAGAGGAAAAGGCAATGCCAGAACACAAGCCTATGAAAGACAGGCTGACGCTAATGTTCTGTGCTAATGCTAGTGGGGATTTCAAAGTGAAGCCATTACTAGTGTACCATTCTGAAAATCCCAGAGTGTTCAGGAAAAACAATGTTATGAAGAGTAAATTGTGTGTGTTTTGGAAATCTAATAGTAAGGCATGGGTCACGAGGGAAATTTTCGTCGAGTGGTTCAATGAAGTGTTTGGCCCTAGTGTGAAGGAGTATCTCCTGGAAAAGACATTGGATCTCAAGTGCCTGCTAGTAATGGACAATGCACCTGCTCATCCTCCAAACTTGGATGACCTAATTTTCGAGGAGTTTGGGTTCATCACAGTAAAGTTCTTGCCCCCGAATACCACTCCTCTCCTCCAACCCATGGACCAGCAGGTTATTGCAAACTTTAAAAAACTCTACACAAAAGCAATGTTTCACAGGTGCTTGACTGTGACCACAGACACTTGACCCTAAGGGAATTTTGGAGAGAACACTTCAGCATCCTCCACTGCATAACCCTTATAGGTATGGCTTGGGAGGGAGTGACTACCAGGACTTTGAACTCTGCCTGGAGAAAATTGTGGCCAGATTGTGTCGACAAGACGGTTTTTGAAGAATTTGGGACTGACCCTAATGAGCCTATGTCTGTTGTAAAATCAATTGTGGCACTGGGGAGTTCCATGGGGTTGGATGTGAGTTTGGAGGATGTGGAAGAATTGGTGGAAGACCACAATGAAGAGCTCATCACTGAGGAGCTGCAAGAGCTTCAGCAGGAACAGCAACAGATTGCAGCTCAGAATCTTGCTGCAGAGGAGGAGGAAGAGAGATGGAAGAAGGTGCCTTCAGAAATTAAAGAGATTTTTACTATGTGGGGTAAGATGGAAAGCTTTATGGAGAAACATCACCCTAACAAGGTTGTTGCAAGCCAGGTTGGCAACATGTACAGTGACAGTCTTGGGCCATTTTAGGGAAGTGTTAAAGAGACGCCAGAAACAGAGCTCTCTCCACAGTTATTTTGTGAGACAGGACTCCAGTGACTCTCAAGGTGGTCCTAGTGGCATTAAGAAACAGAGAAGAGAAGCAACCCCAGAAAAGCAAATGGTACCTGAGGTGTTGATGGAAGGAGATTCCCCTTCCAAACTATAAACAATCCACTCTCTCTCCTCCTCCAGTCTCCCATACACTAAGAAGAATCTCCAATAAAGGTAAGTGTTATGCTGTTAATGTTTCATTCATCATTTCCCATTGTATTGTTTATGTACTACATGCATATTTCATGTTAAAAAATTTTTTGTTTTAATACTTCTGGGTGTCAGGAACAGATTAATTGTATTTACATTATTTCATATGGGGAAAATTGATTCGTAAATCGTAAATTTCGTTTATAGTAACGGCTCCAGGAACGGATTAATTATGAACAACGAGGGACCACTGTATATGAAACTGCCCATTTATGTATTTCAACTAACCAATAAAGTGGTCAGGAATCAGTAATTTGGCCAATTTCACACAAATTTCAAGAGATACCAATTTCAAAATAGGGTCCAGAATAAACAGTGCAGATATTCCTGGCTCTAAAATAACATTTTCTCTGTTCATTGGTCACGTCTGCAGGCCCCTCTTATATTATGCTTGCTTTCTATTTCAAATTTTTATTCACACAAAAAATAGATTTACTGTTATGCAGACTACTGCAATATTGTAATAACTGTATAAATAATGTGACCCATTCGTGACTGCATATTAGACCAGCCAGTTGGACACGTATTGTTTACTCTTGAACATCGGCAAAAATCAAACATTTCCACTACTTTGAGCTCAATTTTAAGTTATTTTCCGGCATGAAATCAATCAAAATTTGATCTATTTCTATAATATATCTTCTATTCTATCAAATGAGACCAAAAAAAACGAGAATACAACCATACAAAAATACACCGCAAAAGTCGCTGTTTTTCATCAAAAGCATGGTCGCCATTTTTTCTCATTGTGCACTGTGCTGCAGGATTTTTTTTATATAGTGCACATTTACCACACAGACCTATTCTCTCATATATAGGCCCAAATTTACTAGTCACAGCTTATCTGAGTGAGCTGAGCTCATGGCAACCAACAGTGCCTTCAAAATCACTTTATCTTTCATGGGCAATGTTTGGTGTATGTGCTTTACACAACGAGAAGCATTCCTGTTATTCATTGGATCCATGGCTAGGTCAGATCAGTGAGCAGGTTATAACAAGAAATGGAGGAAAAGAAATTGGAGTGACTTGTGCAGCAAGTAGTGCCACCAAACAGTAGCAGCAGGTTGGTGTGGCAACCCCAGAAATTTGAAATTATTCTAGTCAAAATTAATGCCGGATTACTGATGGCCAGTCTGTATCTGCTTTTGTGATTATACCTTTGTCATAAGATTATACATTATTTCTGATTTTTCTTTTTACTTTCCAGAGACTGATAGACAAGACAAAGGTGACGTGTGTTCGATGGATACCGGGTTCTCCAAACCAGTTCCTTGCTGCACACAGTAGTGGCCACATGTACACCTATAATGAGGAACTTCTTTGTGGTGTTGACAGACCTCATTATCAGCTTTTCAAGCAGGGTGAGGGATACTCTGTCTATACATGCAAAACTAAAAGTACTAGAAACCCACTTTATAGATGGGTCATTGGTGAGGGAAGCATTAACGAATTTGCATTCTCACCATGCTCAAAATTCTTGGCTGTGGTATCCCAGGATGGATACTTGAAAGTCTTTAACTTTGATACTATGGACTTAGTAGGTAGTGCAAGAAGTTACTATGGGGGATTATTGTGTGTTTGTTGGTCACCTGATGGCCGTTATGTTGTTACAGGGGGTGAGGACGACCTCATTACAATCTGGTCATTTCATGAAAAGAGAGTTGTGGCCAGAGGACAAGGACATAAAAGTTGGGTTACTGTGGTTGCATTTGATTCCTATACAACCTCATATAGTGATATGGATTGTTTTGATGTGTGTAATGAGGATATGGTTAAACACAATAGCATTAGTAATGATGTGAGAGGTAGTAAGACAAATAATAGTGCACCAAATTCAAGGCCTAATTCAAACAGAAACTCCTTAGCCTCAGATGGACTGGGGCTATCTATAACAAGTTATCGATTAGGCTCAGTTGGCCAGGACACATTGCTCTGTTTATGGGACCTCAAAGATGACGTTTTAACACAGCCTTACTTGCGGCCAAGATCAAGCACTGTTGTAAGTAGCAGTGGAAGGGGGAGTGTAAGTGGGGGAACAGGTGTACCTCAAACTGGACAACTTACAGCCAATGCCAAGTGCAACAGTGTAAAAGATTCTTCTGTTGGTAGTGATTCTTCTCACCACTCTCACTCTACTAACTCCCTTACTGCCAAGCTTGCCAACCTTAACTTTGGTGAAAAGAAGGATAAAGAGAAAGGGGAGAAGGACCATAAACGAAGCCTGAGCTTAGCATCGAAAAATTCTATGCAAAATTGTAAAGGTTCTGTAAATAAAAATCAAGTAGGAGGATCAACAGTACTGCCTGAAGACTCGTACAGGCCTATGGGCACATCCCTCTGTCCACGATTAGATGAATGCCCTGTATTAGAGCCTATGATTTGCAAAAAAATTGGTCATGAACGTCTCTCTGGCCTAATCTTCAGAGAAGATTGCCTAATTACCTCCTGTCAAGATGGCTGTGTACTAACTTGGTGTCGCCCAGGAAAACAGGTAAGCCTCATCTTTGTTTCCAAATCTTGAATATCTTGTCAAAAAGTTTGGATTTGGGTTTAGAATATATAAAAGAAGGTACTTTCCTCCAGCTGAAAATACCATAGTAGAATGTCCATTCCATTGTGTAAATATAGTTTTAAATTAGATTTTATCATTATGGTGTCAATATCAGTATCATTTTACTAGAGAAGATGAAATGGAAAGGCATCGTGTTTGGAGTGGTTAAGTGATGTTTCACTTGTGTATAAGGTCTCCTGCTTATCTGGTGTTCCATAGAATTCTTAAAAGTAATATACAAATGGTGTTTTCCTTCTTACAGAGTTACCTGAAAAGTTCTGTTTGCTATATTGATTGATATAGTATAATGGTGATATATGTACTCTTCCTTTATTTCATTGTCTCAGGTACATGTTTTATATTGTAATTATTTGATTGCTGTATATAATAAATGTATTTTGTTTATGTAGTTAGCTACTTAAATTATGATGTGAATTGTGTTTGCTTTGTTAAAGCCCAAGAGGGGTTTGAGATGATGAAATTTAACCCGTTCACTGTCATTAGCCCCAAAATTAAAAGTGCTCACAGTGTTGTTATTTAAAAAAAAAAAAAAAAACTTTTTTAATGGTAGAATATTTTTTTCTGAAGATAATGACACCAAAAATATGAAATTTAATGGAAAACTTACTGAATTACACAGGTGCAAAGTTAGTCTGGGTGCAGTTTACGCATTAGTGATTTTGTCCACTCTGAGTCCCATTTTAAGCCATTCCATTGTTTAATTTCGCCAAATTCTTAGTTATTTTGCTGATATGAGCACAAGAAACCGCCTATTCAACAAGAAGAACTACCCTGTAAAGTGCATAGAAGTTGGTAATTCGGCCAGTTTTACACAATTAAAAAAATTCCAATTTAAAAACGGAGTCCAAAATAAACACTGTAGAGATTCCAGGCACTAAAGCAACATTTTCTCTGTTCATTAATCTAAGTTAATCATGGCTTACCCATTCTCAGAAAAAAGTTGTAAGAAAAATAATACAGTGGACCCCCAGTTAACGATATTTTTTCATTCCAGAAGTATGTTCAGGTGCCAGTACTGACTGAATTTGTTCCCATAAGGAATATTGTGAAGTAGATTAGTCCATTTCAGACCCCCAAACATACACGTACAAACGCACTTACATAAATACACTTACATAATCGGTCGCATTGGGAGGTGATCGTTATGCGGGGGTCCACTGTATTCCCATTACTTTGAGCCTGATTTCAAACTATTTTTAATTCTCAAAATCATATCTATTTCATAAGTACAGTATGTCTCCATTCTATCAAATGTTACCAAGAAACAGCCAATAAAACCATAAAAGCCATTCTAGAAAATGCCTGAGGTACATGGGAGGGACCCATCTGTTCCCCCACAATGGTTGGCCATGTAGGAGCATAAGGTGGAAACAGAGCCACCCTGAAGGAAGGGAAACCTCTGGAGTGAAAGATGGAAATAGATACAAAAATGAATCGCAAACAGGGGGAAGCACAGTAGGTGGAGGTGCGAAAGGTGGTGATACCAGCACCGCGCAGCTTTGAAACTGCTGTTAAAAACATTGGTCTGCAGTGGAGGATAGACTGAGGGCCCTGAATCTGCACTCTCTAGAAAGGCGTAGAATTAGGGGGGATATGATTGAGGTGTATAAATTGAAAACAGGAATAAATAAAGGGGATGTAAATAGCGTGCTGAAAATATCCAGCCAAGACCGGACTCGCAACAATGGTTTCAAGTTGGAAAAGTTCAAATTCAGGAAGGACATAGGAAAGCACTGGTTTGGTAATAGAGTTGTGGATGAATGGAACAAACTCCCGAGTACCATCATAGAAGCTAAGACCTTGTGTAGTTTTAAAAATGGGTTGGATAAATACATGAATGGGTGTGGGTGGGTGTAAGTTGGACCTGACTAGCTTGGGCTACCAGGTCTGGTGCCGTGCTCCTTCCTTAAGTGGAAGTGACCTGACTAGGTGGTCATGCCGGGGGTGGCATGGACCTGCTTCGCATGGGTCAGTAGGCCTGTTGCAGTGTTCCTTCTCTCTTATGTTCTTATAACAATGTTTTCTATTAAGCCATATTAGGGTTCTTGGCCATCGCATTTCTACTGCTTTTGGGTATAGGAAACTGCTCTCATATTTATGAATCAGATACACTTGCTCGCATATCTGTACCATGTGGAGAAATGTCTGGCACCTCTGCAAGGATTGCCAAGTCCCTTCATCAGTTCCCATATCTTAATCGACTCTCCTGTCTATCAGAAAGCATGCAGGTTTCACTTTGAACATGTTCAACACCTTGACACACACATTAACTGACCTCTCTGAAAGTCTCACCATTAACCCTTTGAGGGTCGACAGGTCCTCTCAGAGACTCGTTCTCAGGGTCAGCCAAATTTCAAAAAAAAAAAAAAAAAAAAAAAAAAAATTATGAAAAAATAGTTTTTTTTTTTTCTAAATATTATAGGCTAAACAAAATTTTTTTACCATCAATACTTACTGAGATATGGAGGTATGAAGTTGATGAAAAAGGGGGACAATGTGGCAACATCGCCGACTGCTGTCTCCCAGTATTCTTTTATTTACTTTCTTATGTACTAATTTCTATTATTTTTTAATTTTTCTTTTTCCAAGTAACTTTTATGGCCTGTGAGACCAATATGATCAGTATTTTGTAAGTTTTTTCTTTTTCAATACTACACAATAAGGGTGTAAACACTGTTGTCATTGTTTTGTTATAGAAAATATTTACACAAACAAACGATATGAAATGTTGTTTATTACTATTTTTCTATATTTTATATACACATATACAGTCACAGGGAATGTTTCTAGAAGTTCTGCAGCCTGTGGAACTCTTTGAAACATGGTGTCATGCATAGTGGTGTTTTACATTCCTCACACAAAACGAGTGTGTCTGCGTTGTTGTGGGTGTTTCCTTGTATGTGCACAGACGTAACACCTCTTCTGAGCCTTTTTCTTGAAAGCAGTAGCAGGCAGTTTTACTAGGAAGTGATCACTGTTACAAAAAACGCGATTCTAAAAGCTTAGAGATCTCCAGTGAATACTAGAAAGGACTGCCCTTCTAGCATCCAGCCTGTTACTGGGTTTTCGTAACAAGTAGTCAGTATCCTTGTCCAATTATCCATTAAAATTCAGTATTATTCAATAGTGCTTCAGGATTACAACTGGTAGGCTACTAACTAGAGAAAATTTAATAAATTTATTAATCATTATGTTGTCTAGAGGTATATTATCAAATTAAATTAATCAATCACAGTAATGAAAATAATATCAATCTCTTGAGTTCAATATTATTGTGCTGAAAGCACATATCACATTTATAATTCTTAAGTACCGTCTGGTACATTAACATTTAATAAGATATTACAAATATATACAAGTAAGTTTGTGTATGCCTGTAAGTGCTCTAAGTAGTTCACTATGTCTCACGACTCGACTAGACTTAAACAAGTGACTGACAAAGTCCTCAAATAAACTAACTTCTTGACCGACTGGCAACCAGAACAGTCTGCTTGAACAATGAAAAGAATGCTAAGCCCAATAGCCATATAACAAGCGACTGCGACACAATCAGGATCAAGGAGATAATATAACGACACTAAGTAGGGACCATCAGCAGATCCTCCACAAAAGTTACAAAACTCCCATACTACTGAATCTAAGTTCAGCATAGGAAAAACCCTGACTGTGACAATACACAGAAACCAGTACAAAATTAGGTCAGAAGCTATAGCTAAGGACCTGAGATGTTCAGAGTGTCTATGTGACACACAACCTCAGTACAACGTCGAAAATCACGAAGTCTATACAATGTTCTGTGAACAGAGTTCTACAGAACTAACAAGAATAATGAGACAGACAATCTGTCCAACCACCAAGCGAGTCTACAGCAGACTGAATACTTCACGAGAGGTGAGGACACCCCCCCCTCGATCACGTGATAGCCCCGTGGACAGCACAGCTCAGAAGCCGGCAGTATAACGAGCGACAAGCGATAATTACAGTAGTTTGACAATCAAGACTTGAACTGAGCACATATTATGTACATCCTAACAACATAAGTCAAATAAGAATATAAAGCAATATATTTACGATTTAGCTATTATCGCAAATATAAGCAATATAAAATTATATGAAAAGATAATATACATTATATATATACATAATAATCATTGTAACCCATTCAGGGGTTGCAACAATCACCATGCTTCAGACGAGAAGGTAGTTGTTGATAATTTGGTAGGCGGTCTATTGCAGGTGTTCTTCCTTGGTACTTGAATACTATCTGTCTGATGACAGACAAACAGAATTCGCCGTATTGTGGTTTGTTTCTGGTCCTCATCTTATACATATTATAAGCATTGAGCATGGAAATGTCCAGAAGATGGAAAAAGAGTTTTATGTACCACTTATAACTCTTGCGAACACAATCAGCAAACCCAATCTGCATGTCACATTTGTCCACTGAATGCATATTGAAGGTGTAATCAATCACAACTGCAGGTTTTAGAATGGGTTCATTGCTCTCTCTATGGTGCCTGCCAGTGTCTGCCATTTCATTAGAGTGAACTGATGACAACATTGTGACATCTCGTTTGTCATGTCACCGAAATGCCATGATGTCATTGGCAGCAAATGCCTGCACCTCACCTCTATGAGTGCCAGCGTCAAACCTGGGCATATGTTTCCGATTTACATGCACTGTGCCACACACATCCGTCATGTTCACTGGCAAAAAATCACTGAGTGAGGGGCTTGTGTACCAGTTATTAGTATATAATATATGCCCCTTACCAAGGTATGGTTCAATCATTGTTCTAACCACATCACCAGAGATGCCCAATAACTTCCTGGTATTTTGCAATGTATAACTTCCAGTGTACACAATAATATCCAATACCAGACCACTGTAACAATCACAAAGCACAAACAACTTTATA